TTTGAACCAGGGTATCCCACTTATACTGGTTTTGTATTTTTAATGTTACAGAAGGAAACTTGGAATATCCCTCCAAGTGAATTAAGACATGCATCATCCTATTTGTTTTTGGAATAATACAGCATACAGTACAAATTTCAGGTATGTTTATGTTTATAAATGTTTATGGTTTCATTTTGATTAAGTGATCATACTTTACTGATGTGATACACTTGAGCAACTTTCTACTGTTGCAAAGCCATCAGGCTATCTAAGTACTGAGAGCTGAATTGGCACAGACAATGAGGAGATTTAACCTACTGAACATCTGGGCTGGTGAAAATCAAGAACAAAAACACAAAAAGGAACAAAGGAATGAATATACTATACTTATCAAGAGAACAATGCCTTTTAGGCATTGAAATGAGTGTACCCAAGTCTCCTTTATTGAAGAATCAAGCTTTTGTATACTCTGCCCTGGTGCAGATCAGATAATGCTGTACAGACTTGCAGAATTAGATGATGATTGTTTCATACAACATTGTTTCATACATCAATTGAGGAGACATCCATGTGTGATGGATGGGAAGGGCTGACTAGTCACTACAGAACTGACTGCATGGTGCTACATCGATCAATCCCTGGGACCTTATTTGTTAATCTTCCTATTGGCTTCTGTCACTTACCGTATTCCGGCGTGCACCTCTCGGCATCAACACCTGTGCCCTAGTTAAGCTATTAGCACTGCTCATGCCCTTTTCCACTCCTCTCAGTCCTCGCTCACTGTTGAGATCAATTTTTTCTTGTGAGCATACCTTTCTGACCTGACTTCTGGATTCTGACCCTGTTTTGTCTTCAGCTTCATCTTCGTTTCTGTCTAGCGTATTTTGAATTTGAATACCTTTTTGACCTGACTTCTGGATACTCGACCCAGCTCTGTCTCTGGCTTCGTCTTCGTCTCTGTCTAGCGGATATTGGGTTTGGATACCTTTCTGACCTGACTTCTGGATACCCGACCCAGCTCTGTCTCCGGCTTCAACTTTGTCTCTGCCTAGTGTCTTTTGGATTTGTTTACTCTCGACCAGACTCTCCGGAAACCCAACCAAGCCTGCCTACCCCAACCTCGTATACTGCCTTTCACACCTAGGATTTTGGACACCTACTCTCTCTGCACCGCATAGGGTCCGACCACCTACTGGTCTCACAAGTCCCTAGTGACTTTACTGACAGCTTTTTCTGCAGCACAGAATCTGTTCTTATACTGCTCATGCTTTATTTGCTAGATGAAAACACATTAGTCGTTGTGGATGCATTTCTCACTAGATTTGAGCCACACTTAACAGCTGTTACACAAGCTCAGATGATGTGTGGCATCAAGGGCTCTGATACAAGTAAACAGACACATACTTGTGCAGTAGGCATGGAACAGAATCCCACAATACGGTATCTGAATCCTGGCACAAAACATGTGTTACAGATGTTCAGCTAGTATAGCTTCCAGTGATAGCCACACTATAGCACTTCTATAGCCTGTCACCTTCTTTTTAGATCACTGCTGATTGGTCTTTTTAATAATAAATGTTGCTAATCAGTATATTTAATTTACCTTTATCATATCTCTTATCTTTGCCTTATTTGACTTTGTATTTTCTCTTCAAGGGAGATTTTACTTGTGTTTGTAAGTGAATTATTACATGTCAATACAGTTAGGAAATCGCTGGTAATGTAATAAGTATTGTATGTGAAAAAGATCACTTATCTTATTATTTGTTCAGTGTACAGTATTCTCCAGTGTGTAGATGTTATCCACTTGTACTGTTACACTTGTAACAGTATACACAGGTGTGGCTGATGATCTGGGTGAGTCAATCTGTACCTCTCCTTATTGGGAACAGATAAATTAAATGCTCTTTTACTTCTCTTTGTAAATAATCTTGCACAAGCTTGTTGTTAACAAAGTCTTCTTTTTTAAGTTTAGGAAAAACACGGGTAGGCTAACAAAGACTTTTAACAATGTGTTTTTTAACAATTATTTCATTCAGAGTTTTATTCATGAACCTTATTGTTTCTAATAGGTGTGTGTAAGATATTGCAGACAGTCTTTCTCTGATTCCATCCTATTTTGTGATACATCTATTAAACAAATGAAAATGTATCTGTTGGTCTGAGTTCCTTTCCTGAAGAAATGCTTGAGCAGTTCTCAAATATTACTTTGCTCATCTGTTCCACTTGTTTTTTTATCATGAAGAGTGGTCCCCATTTTCACTTTTCCTACAAGTAGAGGTGATGGTTGGGTTCAAGCGTCATCATGGGACTGTTAAAGACAATTGGATCATAATTTTTAAATTTTAATCCAGTTTAGTAGTGGCATAGAAACCAAGATCTGATCATAAAATGTGTGTTAGGTCTTACAGACTGAGTATGTACTGCAGCTTGTGTGGTTCTTGAACAGTGTGGTTCTGCCAATTAGTTCTGCTTTGCCAACCGACTTGTCTACCCTCTGGTTTTACTGAATTGCACAGACTAGCCTTCTAAGTATTATGTGTAGAGGATGACATCTTTTTACAGAATTCTGATTAATGGTTGAGCTGTTGATCTCAATAATAGTAGTGCAAAAACACAGAACTTATAAGGGTTTATCATGCACCTAATCATGCACTGTCTGCAGTCTGCACATCTGTTAGATTTACCAAAAATTAGGTCACATGCTGGACAGTGTGGCTCAAATTATTATTCACATAAGAACTCACTATACCGTATTATGGTACAGAGAAAACTGAATTAAGAGTCTAGAAAAATCTGTTATCAAATATGGAAACAAATTATACTGTAATTAATGCAATTTATTTAAGATAATCTAAATACATATATATACACAATTTCCTGCCATATAATTGTCAATTCAAAGCAAAATTTGAATTTTGAATTTGAATTTTGATTGCTCAATCGATGCATATTCACAAGTTTAATTATTTTCAGATCATGAAGAAATCGTTACATTTAGTTTAATAATGATAAAATAATAATCATGGAAAAAAAATTAAACTGTAAAAAAATTCTTAATTTAGGAATGTTTTGCAGTAGAGTAACAGACATAAAGTAGTTTATAAACAGAGTGGGAATTTTCTTCACATTTCTTAACATTATTCACAGTTTGAATTTTAACTGATCATTGATATTCCACATTATAGGCTAATTATTAATATATCATTCAAGAAATCCACTTAGCCTTATCATCTTTTTTAAATGAAAGACATAAACTTTAGATTTGTAAAGAAACTATGAATGCACAAGCTCTCTGAGTTAAAGCAGTCATCCCATGCCTCATTGAAAAATGGAACCTAGTAACTGAACCTGCATAAATTAAAGATAATCTAGGATAAATTATGTAAATTTATTCCAAAGGGTAACAGCAGAGAACACTAGGGGGGTATGTTATTGAAGTTGAAAATCCTGCCACTAGATGAAAAAGGAATCACATTTGTGTGGAACTCAGGTTTTGTGAAGTCATTAAATTGTTTCAGATCTCCACTTAAAAAAAAAGAAAAGAAAAGGACTATTTTTTCCCCTCACAGAGAATGTTTAACAAAGCAGTTTGGGTTAAGGCTTGAGACATATTTATCTGATATTTAATTATTTAAATTATAAAGATATATACTGTATATATATAGATCCACTGAAATCTTAGCACTACTCATTCAGTGAAGTAGGCAATACAGCATTGAAATAATATTTTCTTACAATGCCTCTTTTTGGGTTTTTTTTTGCCATCAGCATACGTAGGCTACAAAGGAACAAATAATAGGTTTATTCCATGCTGAAAAGAGAAGAAAGAAAACACAACGTTTCGGCAATGGAGCCTTCTCACAACTGAAGAAGCCTCCACGGCCGAAACGTGTTTTCTTTCTTCTTTTTTTCAGCATGGAATAAACCTATTACTTGTTCCTTTGCAAATTAAAATATTGTTCACTTGTATGAATAAAATAAAGACACTACATGTAGCTGTATATTCTATCATTTTATTTTTATGTCAATACAAAAAAGCTTGTGCGACCATAAGCCTTTTCATTCCATCCTCTGCCTAAAGAGAAAGAAAGAGAGTAAAAAAGTGGCCATAGCAGTTCAAAGCTGGCTGGTTAGCTTTCTGTGTGGGGTTTATGTGTATAGGCAGTGTGTAACTGTGAATGTGACAAAGCTCTCTGTCGACTCTGAAGATTTTGCCTCTTTTGAAATGAAGACTCACACCCCTTCCAATCTCTTTCTTTTGACCTAATGTCCCTCAACTACTCCTATGTTTTCAGGGTCACTGCTGATCTGTTGTGTTACATTCATAGGAATCCTGCCTCTCTCTAGCTAGGTCATTGCCCTTCATTCCTACTTTACAGAATCTCATCCTCTGAAATATATTGTTTTATCGTGGTTTCATCTACATACACACTCTTCACAAGCAGATACCTGTATATGTAATGTATTATGTTCTGTTTTGAATGTGGCCTGGGTGTTAATACTTTAATAATATTAGAATTTAGTTTATTTTTTTCTTTTATGTTTCAGAAACTTTGAAACAATCAATTTCTTATTTGACTGGTTATCACTTGTTGGGTTAATTGTACATTTGACTCTACTGGTGTAGATGTCTTCAATTTCTGATGATCATTCTCATATTGTTTTCCAAATAATTTACAGTACTGTATATTATTGAGAAGTCGTTTAATTCTTTAAATATTTGCGACCGTTTCGCTTACAAATTCGTACCTGATGCATTTTATTTGTTCGTAGAAAGTTTATGAAAACTCATAATCAGAGGTTCTATTAATAATTTGTGTTTGAAAGCAACAATTACTTTTTATTCATGCTTCTGGTCTGCCAAATTGGTATTATGCACGTATTATTTGAAATTAAACTGACATTATCTGATATCTGATATTGGACGATGGGTCTAATTATTTTGATTTGAATATCACAAGTTTCGTGGAAACCGTGGCTCCTCCTGTGTAGTTTGTGTTCAACTAAGCTGTGTTGCATGAAGAGATGGCTGTGGGCGGTGCACAGTCACAATTATTCTCCTTTCATTCACACCGGAGTACCCAGTCTTCAGGCTATAGCCGTGCTTCGGCTTTAGATACTCAAGATCGAAGAGCGAATGTTGAGGGGAAAAACGATATTCCACCGGTATGAATCAAATATAGCATCCATATACGCCACTGGAGTACAGTTTTATTTCTGAAAAAAAAACGATTTTTTACCATTTTTGCTCAACTCCTGGACTTGAAAATGAAAAATATGGAACTGTCAATTTCCAGCTTTCTCGCGCTCTGTCAGCTGCTTTTCATTTTTCAGTTCGGTAAGGATTTTCACTTTACTTCATTCCTTTTCTACAGTAGCCTCTGAAAAACGAGCTCAATTCCATTGCATGGCGAAATCTGGTGCAATCGCAAAAGATTTCACGCTGAATTAGCAAGGTACTGTTTGGAAATGACAAGCTGGTTGTCTCATCTACATATGAAAGCAGACTATTTGAACTTCAGATATCTCTGGGATTATTATTCACTTTAATTGACAATTTATTGAATGTCATTTAAGGTATAAAATCCCCATTGTGTGTTTTTCAGTAGTGTGTTCGTCAGTGACCAGTATCACCTGTGTGGTCATTAAAACATAATAGTTATTGTCTCCTAATTATACAGTGAAATAATGAAGAAACTGGTTGGTTTGCTTGTTGTTGCTCACTTTATCACGCAGTAAGATACTGACTGCTTTGACTAAATAATATGAATTAATTTAAAAGCACACTTCTGTGGTTTAGTAAAAGCCAGTTGTATGCCATGTGTTATTTTATGGATGCGAACTGATTTATGTCTTTTGTGCAAATGTGCAAAAAACAGCATCTGATCTAAATTGTGTGGATCACCTCGTATTTAGTATACTATAAGGAGTCTTTTTATGATGAACACCTCCAATTACTTATTTTTTCTAAGCTTGTATATATTACAGTCACCTATTATTCAACACTATGTGCTGGAAAACTAATCATAGATGACATCATCACTGGGTCCTGTCTCTATAAACCCAATTACATATGCCGTTTGTCAAATGATACGTCAAACAATTAAAGATGTACTTTAGCGCTGCTGTAAATTTTGCGCGATGGAGCAGACAACCAGAGATTATCGGCTTTTTAGGAAGTCGTTGTTACTGTAATGGCATTCTCTTTGATTTGTGTGGTGACGTGCCGAGATCTTAAACCTGTCTTTCCTCATACCTTGAGTCGTCCAGATGAAACATTGGACTCATTGGTGCTCATTGGACTCCAATTATATATAACCTTTTGCTTTGACAATGAAACCAGGAAGAACCATGAAACTAGTAATTATTCAGTCAATTTCAGCCTCGTTAATTATTCAGTATGACCGAGTTCGTGTTTCCTACCTTTCTTACCTTATGCAGTGAACAATTATGCAGTCTTTTTATTTTCAATAGCCTTGACGCTATGGCTATCTCAAAAGTGGATAGAAAACGTGTGCTGAAATCTTTGATTATGTTCTAGTTTTATAATTATATAGAATTAATACTTTGAAGAAATACAATAAGCAGGCTATGTAGGATTCTTAAAAGTCAAAGTTTTTGTTTGGGGCACTCTACATACAAGAAAGAGAAATCAACTTTTAACGCTCAAATTGACTGTTTTTTATTGAAAAAACGCCAGTTGTAGAATAGTTAAAGCTGTGTAATTTGAGTGATTTTTGGAAACTTTCTTTTTAAATTTAAATCTCAAAACTTTAAAATTGTGCATAGATATATTAAGAGTTGTCATAAGTACTGCCGTTAATTAAATAGCTAATTAACAGCTCCTAAAAATAGATTTTAAACGTTTTAGTGCAGTAATATTATGGCCATTGAAACCCACCATATCCTTTTAGCTGAGAGATTAATTTTATCTATTTCATTTCCAACAACCTATACAGTATAGTGTTTATTATATAATAGTTTGAGTTTCAAGTAAGAAAAACGAGAAACATTTAAAAAATAGGAAAACAGAAATTAGGAAATGTTTAGTTCTATGAATAACACACTTACTTTCTAATCTAAAAAGAAAAACCAAATAAAAAAATTAAATTGATTTGACATATTTAAAAGATTCAGCTTCTGAATGCTGCTTCATTATTATTCATGTTCTGTAGAAAAGTTCCACAGAGCAGACTGATATGGTTGGTTTAATCTTTTGGATAGTAATCCAGACAAAGATTTAAAAAGATACCCAAGCCATCTTTTTATCCGTTCTCTTGAAAAAAAAAAGATGCCTTTGTAACAAAGCTTTTGAACTGGGATTTTTAATGTGTTGGTACCTGCTCAATAGTGAGCTGTATTTTTTTCCTTCTCATTCTGAATAGTATAAATGATGCTTTGATGAATTCTCAATCACAAAGAAAGTGACATTTCATTGGGGGTATGGTCTTGCAGGAAAAGCTATTAAAGTGAATGAAATTATAGTGAATGAAACATCGACGCCACCTGTTTTCAGAAAAGAGTACTATGGATTACATACAGTATTTGCCTTGCATTTCTTTATGATATCTAATTGTATCCTTGTTTCTTAAGGTTTTCATTCAGTTGCTTTGCTAGGCACATGACAATACATGTTCTGCAATCATTGAAATAGCTAATATTACATGGTAATATATGGTATTTTGAGTAACTTATTATACTGTATTATACTGTATGCCACCATTCCACCTATTACGGTATGTCACATTCTGTACAGTGGTGTTACAATACCAAGAAAGGACTCATCAAACAATAAAATCTTAGGATATCAATGGATCATTCACAGAAGCCTGATTCCATTTATTCCTCTTGCAAAACTGCCCATTTACTTCGTTAATAATTGATTAGGCAGTTTTGTCACAGTAAAAATCAGGCTTTCATGAGATGACAAAGTAAACATTCTGTAGAAATAAAGAATTCAGGGTCAGCCTACCCTTTGAAGGGTGTAGTTTAGGAAGAGACCAAATTTCTGTAGGTTTAATCTGTATAGGAGAAGGTTTGAGTCTTTTTGAGATCTAAAACTAAAATATTAGCTAGTGTATATAAAATAATGCTGTATTAAATGTGGTATTTCTGTGTCCTAACATTTTCCCACATGCTAGATATTTGGTTGGATATTTATTAGGTTAGTTTTCAAAATGTGATAAAAATGTAAGAAGAACTAAAATCTATATTTAAAAATATGTATTTTAAGACACTATAAGGAGGGAATCATTGATAGTGACATCCATAGGCAAACTGTGCACTTTTCCTTTGGATGTCTCACAGGTGCTATCTCTTAATTTAACTTACACACAGAAAAAAGAAAAGTAATTGTAACAACATTTTAAAATGGCTACAAAGATGTACAGTATGTACATATAAATAATGTGGAAAGTATTGTATTTTCTCAAATGTAAGGGTATTTACATATTATTTTGCTTTTAGAATTGAGTCCGTCTCTCATCGTTGTAAAAGACAGTATCTACAGACTCTGTGGTGGTAAAGGTTCAGACATCCACTGCTAGATGTTAGTCCATTAATTTCTGATTATGAATGATTCAGGACCTTTTACTTCACAGGTAACTAAAAAATATTGAGATATTTGTAGATTTTAATCCTTTCCATTCAAATTAGAAAAAGAATAATATTATATGATACTTCAATCTGAACTAAGACCAAATCAGTAAACAAAACAAAATAACATTCTTCACAACAAGATTTGAAATTCTACACATTATCATGATTTTCTCCAGTAAGGTTTTATTTAGGAATATAACAAAGGTTACAAACGAAAGGAGGCCATTCATCCCATCTGACCCATTTGGTAGTTAATTGATTCAAGGATCTCATTCAACCATTTCTTGAATGGACTCAAAAGTACCAGGTCCAACCACATGACTGGGAAGCTTATGCGGTTGAAGCCAATAGTTTGTGTTCCTTCCAAAAATGTCTTTTTTTTCCTGTAAACTGTGTATAGAAAATACATTTCAAATGCATTTCATCTATGTGTATATTGAATGAAGTTGAGTTTTGAAATGTATTTGCTATAGGTCTTATGGTGTATACAGTAAGATGAATGTTCAAGTAGGTAGGTGCATCAGCATGCATAGGCTGCAAAGGAACAGGTAAAGGTTTATTCCATGACACACCTGAAGAAGGCTCCACGGCAGAAACATTGTGTTTCTTTTCTTCTTTATTTTCTTCTCTTTTCAGCATGGAATAAACTTGTTCTTGTTCCTTGTAGTTGAATGTGTTAGGATGACATCACTGCCTATGACTCCCAGTAGCATTAAACTCCCCCACAGTGGGATGCTGACCTTTTGGAATAGTGGATTTCACAATTGTTGGTGGGGGCTGTTTGGCTTAGGGCTTGGAGATGCCTGATGGGCATACATTGAAAGCTAGTTAGGGATGAGCAACACAAGCCACGCTTACATTGGGAGGCCGATGCACATCACATTTTTTTGTTTATTGTTGTTGTAGGTTATTCAAATTAATGATTCAGTCACTGCACATTAACCATAGTATTGAGCAGTCTACTACCATACATGAGCAATTCAAAATACAAAATGGATTTATCTCATTAAGGAACCAGAATCTAACCATAAGGACAAGACCCCCATTTAACTTCACTAGGTGAAATGAAGGAGCTACTGCCAAAGTAATGACATTCTATGCTGGAAAAGGGATGGTCATTACCTGTGTTTATACTGTACTTAGGTGGGTGTGGCTGTGTGTTAGCCCTTCAATTTTAAATGTCAATTAGAAACTCTATTTAATGCTCCATTGTTTGCCATGACCATGAATGATGAGCAGAATAAATGTGTAAATCAGTAACTGCATTTTCTTGTGGCTTTATAACTATTATAGTCTATTATTATAGTACGACCACCTTTTTACTTCAAATTTGAGAGAGTGAGAATTACAGTATGGTTAACAAGTGGATTTTACTCATTTTTATAAGATGTCCGTATCCAGGATTACTTACAAAACACATGGAAATTATGATAAATAATAACACATACTGTAAATAAATCCTTAACAATAAGCAAAAAAGTATTTAATGTGTTCTACTTTATAATCAAAATGTTACAGAACAGTATAGTATTTACAACATGGTCACTTTCATCATCAATAAGCAATAAACATACATTTTAGTTTATATTAACTGAACAAATGGTAATTCACTATGCTACTACTGAACTTTGGTTGGCATTTCAGTGGCAGTGCACGATTTACATCCAGGAATCTGTCTTTTTTGTTCCAAATGACATACGCTGAATGATAGTATTGAAGAAAAAGCTTTTGTGTGCTCTT